GGCCCGGGGCTCCTTCTCGCCGCACCGCCCGGGACGACTCTCGCCACAATTCTAAATACTTCACCAGGGTCCTGAACGCGGGGACATGGCTAGGGCTGAGTTAACTTTATCTTTCTTTCCGCCCCCTCCCCCCCTTTGCATTTGCCATGCTAATATTAGCGTTGCCATAACCATGTCGTGTATGTCAAGCAGATAGGCTTAGCTAAAGCAGTGTTTGGGGCTCATTACTGGTGTCTGATACATACTGCTGAATTAGAAGAACTAACAGTTGTATGTATTCAGCTGATGCAAGATAGTGATAACTAACTGTTCTTTGTGCTGGGTGTTATTTATTGCACCAGTGTAGCAGTGGAGACTGCTGAAAGGACACACATTATTATACAGTGCTACAGCTCCACCCAGCTGAATGGCACAAAATGAGACTGGTTTGTTGTCTAGATCTCTGCTTAAAATAACTCCCAAACTTGGAGGACATGAGAAAAATCTATTGACCTTCATTATTTCAGCACATATGTATTTCAAGTTTTCTTCAGTCTCTGCAGTTGAGTAAAGGGCTTAAACTCACAATTATATTTGAACGTGTGATTGATGACTGTTGTGTGTTGGCTTCAGTGTGACCACTCGCGCTCAGAATTAATTGTGTCTTCCAGGCCCCTCCTCAACCAGTCTAGTGCCTAACTAATGTTGACGATGTAGGGATTTTTATTATCCTGCTCTTTAACCTAGTCATGCTTTCTCTGAGGGTTATAGAGATAAATGGTCCAATGTGTCACTTTAAAGGAGGAAGAGATATGGGACATCTCCAAGCAACTAGAAATGACTGCAGAGACCATCTGCCTCTTGAGGAAAGATCTCACTAAAGCAAAGGTACACATTGTACATTCACTACCTGCAATTAGCTTCTGTTTCCACTGCCACCTGGAGACTCCCGCACAGCATTCCAGCCCAGAGCAGGAATCTGCCTTTTTGTTTCCTTCTGTCGCTGACACAACTCCTGTTTTGTTGATGAGAAGGAACTATGGCACCAGCTGTGCTAACTCCTGTCTTGGCTGGCACGAAGGCCACCAGAGTTGTGTGTGTTGCTTTTTTCTGCCTACCCCAGGAGTAGCCTGAATTTTTCTGGAACTCTTGGATGCAAAACGCAAATCATAAAAAGGGAATATTGATCTTTTTAAGTTGTCAAGGCAAGACTGCTGGCCATGAAACAGTCAAGATCCTTAGCATGCCCAAAGTCTCATTGCAGGTAATGCAGGGTAGCGTCAACTATACTTTATTCCTTTTAATAAAGGTAGCTGTTCCTGGTCCACAGGGGTCAGTCAAAGAGCACATTAGACAGGGCAGTAGCTTCTCATATTCCACACATTTTTTCTAACAACACAATGAACTCCATGTTTTCTGCCTTTCAGGAGTATGCGTCTCAGATCAAAAGCCAGATTACCAAAGATTTCTGTTGCATGAAGGAATATGTTGAAAGACAGGAGAGACACACACTGATGTTCATTGAACAAGAGCAAAAAGCAGCTCAGCAGAAAATTGAAGAGACCATTCACCAGCTCTCTGTTGAAGTGAACAAGCTCATGGACATCAAAGCCCGAACGGTAAGTGATGAAGTGGCAGAATATGAGTAGAAACTCTTAAGCTAAATGTCTTGGATAGCTGAACATGTACAGAGCACTTTCAGGTCCCCACAGCACTATTCTCACTAGAAACAACGATACCAATCTGCAGACATTGCTGTTACCAGGGAAAGTTTGGAGTGAGACATTCAGAGGGAAAAACTACTAAAAAAGGCATAGGGTGAGGATGCAATTCAGATTTGTTCCAAGGACGCTGATGAGCTGGAGTGAAGTGGGGATGCATTGCTTAAATCCAGTCCTTATTCAAATCTAAGGTTAAGATAAGATCCTTTATTATATTTTTATTTTCCAGAATATGTTTATACACATATGTATGCAAGTTAAAGAACTCATAAAGTTACTAAGTACTTTCTAATAACTTTCTTGGGGAAAATATGTCAAGGGCTCTCAAAAGAGGCAGTTAAAGCACTTTAAATTCTGCCGAGCCCGTTTTGATGTTGAAAGCAACAATTCCAATGCTGCAAATTAGCTAGCAGGAATTTGGAGTGGGGCTCACTGGGTGTGACAGTGCCAGGAGACAGAATTGGACTTCCAGGGCCAAGGCATGGGGGCCTGCGTTGGAATTCACCTCCTGTAGCTATGTATTTATATCTGATCCCGTTATAGGCAATGAAGAGAAACAGGTACTTTTAGAGCGTGAGTCATCTGGCCTACTTGAGACGCCTACCTGCAAATGGGATTGATCAAGCCTTCAGAAGGCCTGTTTCTTTCCACAGACTATAAAGGCAGACTAAGAGAACAAGCTCAGATGTAGATTTCTACAATTTCTAAATTTAGGCAAATGTGGCTTACCCTTTTGTGGGTATTTTATGCCAGATCTCATACTAATATATTTTAAAACTTTTGGTTTGGGTTCTAGAACAAGAAGAAAGTTTAAAAAGAGAAAGTCTGTGTATACATATGTATACTTAAGGAATTGTAAGCCATATAAGAAAAATTAGTCCCATTCTTAGTTTTCTTGGGGAAACCAAATTATTTTTTAATAATAAACTATCCTTTAATATTTTCTGTAAGATTTCAGGTTAGTTCTCTCAGATAAATATGCTACAAGGGAAGCTCTCAGTACAAAAAATAAGATTTTAGAGAGATGATTGCTGTTTTTCCACTCTGGCTTTATAATATAATCTGATATGCTAGATGAAATAACTGCTATTGTTTACATCTTCCCCTTGATTCTTTTATGCCCTTATTAGAGTAACTTACCTGAGACACATAGGTACAAAGGCTCATCTTCAACAATGAATAAAATTACACTTGAAGAGAAGCTTAATGTTGTCAGAAGTGCTGTAGAAGATCTTAAGAGAAAGTTGGAAATTTTACTGTTGGAGAAATACGCTCAACAGTTCCCACCAGGTGAGTTTTCCTTATTTTGAAATAGTTTTTTTCAGAGGGAATGGCACTAGCAGGGTCCTGCACGTGACCCCCCTCAGCTCAGTCCCTTGCATGGGGGGGTTGGAACTGCTGTTACCTGACACTGCTTTGACCCCACACTAAAGGTTTGCCTGAAAATACTATTCTTACACAAGGTAGGTCTGTAACTTTGGAAAACAAACCAAAAACTTCAGAGAAAACAGGTGCGCATGTGTGTGATTATTATAAAACTCCTTGCAGTTTCGGAGACAACATGATTACTTTAAAATTCTTTCATGGGAGCCCAAAAGAAAAGAACTGACTCACATGCAGATCAGTAACAGAGAATGAAACATAATCCATTTAAATATTTTTTTCTAAATATAGAGTAATGTAACAGCAAAGTCTTTGCTAAGAGCAGACATAAAATTAACTCCCACCAAAAGCTGTGTCTAAGCAAAGCTTTAGATCTGGTATGGCCTTTGCTATGGAGTTCTTAAGACTGACCTAAAACCCCACTGCCACTGGCTCCCCTTCCCCCCTTTTCCAATACTACTTGCCTTTTTCAAGCACTAGTTCTCAAAACCCCCAGATACTTATATTTCTACTTCAGGGGTTTCCTTATCTCGATCGTTTCAGCAACTGAGTTTACAGCTTTGCTCCACAATCATTTTTACTAGGCAAACCAAGGAATCAGTAGGCAGAGGTGTGGGGCAGGACCTTTTAAGGATGGCTTTCATGTTGAGGACAATGTATTGCATAACTATACCAGAAAGTGTCTGCACATGAGTCTTGTAAAAATGCACTACAATATCATAGAAAATTAGAAACAGCCCTTAAAGCTGTAGTGCTGAATGTCAGGCTTTTTGGTCAGCGATTAGAGTGAAAAACTACTTTGTGCTTATGAAATGCACGTGCAGGTAACACAAGAAACACATGATACTCAGAAAAAAATGAAGAACACTGTAAACACTTTAATGACAGAAACTGGCTTATCTGCATAGGAAGATCCAACTGCTTTACCCATCTAACTTTTCTGACTATTCCATTCTGACCACACTTAGTGCAGCAGCATATGGTGTTTTGTTAATTTTGGATAAAAATGTTTGCCTGCACATCCTCTGATAATTTATACAATCAAAAAAGCAACTCTCTGTTTTGTGATTTAACCACTAGCTCGGTTTATTTTATGTATGCTTTCCTTTCAAAGCATAAATACTTCCTATTTACATTGTGAAGAAGTGCCTTAACACTTGTATTTTTTTGTATTTAGTGCAACCTCCAGACTTGTATCAGGAGACAAATGTCTGCTCATTACCTCCAGAATCTGCAGCTAAGAATCCAGAACCAATGATTTCAAGCCAGTTTTCTCAGTGTAAGTATGCAAGCTAGCATAACTCTTCAATAACAGTATTCAAGTGACTATGAGACTGTGGATTTGCTGAAGAAAACTGTACTTACAAACACCAGCAGGAGGTCTGGCTGTTTACCTGAAGCATAGAAACACAATGAAGTTACCATGTATTAATCAGTTACTGCAGCGTAATACAGTACTGTACCTGACTGCATATGCAAGATAAAAGCAATACGAAACCTGTTTCTTGGAGGTCTATAAGCTGTGCTGTAGCTTGTGCTGGCTGCAGGCTGAGTTGGTGTATGGGCAGTTACTGCACATTACTGATCTTTACTGTATTAAGCCGTAATGACTCCATTTGTTGTCTGAATTCTGCATCATTTACACAGAAATATTTTTACAGTCAACACACAGTACTACAGCTGTAGCTTAAAACATAAAACAAATGTTTTTGCTGATAAAACATGCAAGAACACATCCCAGTGAACAGATGACTAAAGTTTTAAGGCAAGCGTCCCATTTATTGTTGGCAGAAGGGTAATTGTTTATAAGACTGTGGTTAGGAATAAGATCCATCCTGTACCTGTGCCAAGTACCTTCACCTTCCCGCTGGAGTGCGTGAGTCTGTCATGGGTGTTTACACAGTTGTGCCTGTTAAATGTTTCAGTATGTTCAGGGTACAGTTGTTAGTGTTTGGTGGAGGATTCTTGCTGATTTGCAGGACTGAACTTTAATGATTGTATGATCATCGGTTTTCATTTCTGCTCTTGAGTAGGGATGCACATCCACTGTTATTTAGGATGCATGTAAATACTGAGGTGATCTGTCTTCTTGTTGCCTGAAGGTGAGAATATTTTCCTTTCTCACTTCTAGGGGCAGATGATGTGACTTTTGATCTCACAAGAGTGTATGAGCGCTTAGCAGTATCAGCCCAGAACAGGAAAGTAATGGTTTCCAGCTACCCGACTGATTATGAACCATCACCCAACAGATTCTGCATCAGCCAAGTGATGTGTTCACAGAGCTTCTCTACTGGGTGCCACTACTGGGAGGTAATTACCAAGGACAGTGATGGATGGGCTGTTGGAGTTGCTAATGAAATGATTGGTAAAAGGGACAAATTAGGAAGAACAGAGCATTCCTGGTGTGTAGAATGGCTAGGTCCCAAAAAGCAGCTGTCAGCATGGCATAGGGGTCAAGAAACATTATTACACAAGGATAAACCATTGAAGGTTGGAGTTTTCCTGGAGCTACAAAAGAAGACCGTGTCATTTTACGCCATCACTGACAAAGAAATGCTTTTGCATACATTTGAAATCAACACCTCAAATCCTCTTTACCCTGCTTTCTGGCTGTATAGTCTAGAAATAAACGGATCTTTAACTATAAGTCATATAAACAGGAGGTAAAGCCTGTTCAGAAAAGTGGTAATTTTGGCTATGACTGCAGAGCTTCTGCAGTGTCTAGCACAGGATTTACCAAGGAGTGTAGAGCTACCCAGGCTTTCCTGGAAGCCAGCAACTGATACTTTGTCTGCTCTGCTTTTCTTCATGCTGTGCTCTGATGTAGCCATACTTCATTAAAGCAATTCCAGTGTATGCTAAAGGCAGTAACCATCCCTGTGGGAGTGAGGTGGATTTCTTAAACAGCTTTAAATAGTCCCAGGATATTCCTAGGAAGGAATGTGCCAAGGAAGCTCTGAGGTTGGAGATAACCCCATCCCATGGACCTCATTTTCCTACACTGATCCAAAAATTATATGAGAACAGATGATGCCATTTCATTCTGTCAAGTGACTGAGCAAGGAATGCTCAGAGGGCAAGAATGTTACTGATCTCATGCATGAAAATCTTTCTCTTTAGAGTAGGTGCTAAACTACAGGAAATAGGCTTTGTATCTGAGGACCTGATACTTCAGGGAGGTCTCCCAGAAAAACATCGTCTCACTGGCACCATGTCTTGTTTTAGTTTTGCCTAGACCAAAGGGCTGTCAGTCCTGGTGGTGGTGTGACCATGGGAATGGGTTTGGAAGCGGATGTTTTCAAATGTGTTTGTATGAGCTAATAAATCACTCGGTCATTTTATTGCTTTTTTAAAGAGCCAGCAAGCAGGACTGTGTCACGGAAAGGACCATCTTTTCTTGCCATGGAGCCTGAGGAAACAAAAAGGTTCTATGAGTTTCCTTGCCAGTGTACAGGCAATGTTTCTGCCCTTGTTTGTCACATCTTTCTGGTTGTAGGAGGTCCCTGTTGCCTGTGTGGGCTGAAGGGGCCAGAGCTGAGATCCTGCAAAAGCTGAATTTCTGAGAGGACCACTGCTTCATACAGGCAAACTGAAAACAAAGTTCCCAAGAAACAAAAGCTTTTTCAGGAAGACAGTGGCATTCCAGAATGAACAAAAGAAGTTTAATGTGACTAAAGCATGTGGGACTCAACTAGCTCATTTAGCCAAATGGAGCTCCATGGCTTTTGAAGTCATTGACAGAGCTGCTGGTAATCTTCAAGGTTACTCTCCTTTGCTGCCCCTGAAACACTCTGAAAGCGCTTTGGACTAAATATACATTTGTAAGACCCCAGAGGAGTGTGTATTAGCTTCTACAAGGCCGGGGGGTCCCTCTCAGTGTTGCCAACAGTGCAATGCCCAGCTAATGGTCCTGCCTCTCGTGAGGACTGAGGTGGCCTTTTCTGCTCCAGCTGGAACAAGAAGAGCGATGGCACGATGAGCTCGCTGGGCATCTCTAATTTTCCACATGCAAGTTGCGCTGTACTGCCCAGGAGCAGCAACTCACTATGGTTGGGATCATAAAGTACCACACAATTTGAAAGCGAGTGCGTTGTCTCGCTTCTGATGTGTTCCTGCGCGTCGGGTGCGCTCGCTTGGCTGGCGCGCCGCTACAGCCAGCACCGTTTCGTTACAGCGCATGAAAGCTGCATCATGGCTCCTTAATGGCAGAAAACTGAGTCACCGTCCCAGGCAGGCCCAGAGCAGACCTCCCGCTCGGCGGGGGACAGGCGCCCAGCGCCCGCTCCCTTTCCCGTCCCCCCTCTGAGGGACGGCGGCGCCAAATCGCCTCAGGGCGGCGCGCGGCCCCGAGCGC